TGAGGCCGCGAACACCGCACTGGAAGCTCCCTTCGAGCGGCTTCTGGATGGGCTCGAGGCTGAGGCGCCTCCAGTGAGCGCCATAGTTGCTGACTCTTTTGTTGATTGGGCCGTGCGGGTCGGGAACCGGAGGAATATTCCGATGGCTTCACTTGTTATAAAAAATATACAAAATATAGTTTTCCTTTTCCGTAAAGCCAAACACAAAAACATTATATTATAAATAACATATAAATAAATAAATAGGAAAGCTTTTAAGGTATAATGAAATTGCAGAAAACAAAATAATAGGTAAGTAAAAGGAAAATAAATAATGAGTAAGAAGGTGAGTTTGGTACGGTGAAACACGTCAAAGACGCTGTCCTAAAGCCTTTGTAGCCTCCCTACGTGTAGGTACTGACGGTCTACAAGACTCCAAGATACGACCCCTTATACACAAACTCAAGATCCGCTATGAGCACGTTCATAGACGGATATAGGTATCCAAGTCACAGAACCATTGCCTAAAATAATAATAATATAAAGTAGAGATTTTAAAACCTTTTTAAAATTCCAACATCACTGTGGACAATGTCGGCGTCGGTGTTTACGGTGTTCCGTAGCTTTGAGCTGCTCAAACAGCAAGGTCACTTCCCTGCTGACGTGTCAGGTATGTCGGGACATGACAATTGATTGTTATTACTTATTATGGCATATGCTCGTACGCTACATGCATGTGAGCATGTGGGTGTACGTCACCTTTGGGACCCCACGTGCGTTAATTGTTGAAAGTCGACTCTCATTATGCCAACCCTATTTTCACCTTACAAAGTTACACTGCTTGACTGCTTGCATGTAAGAAGTCATTCTTCATACAGTCTACACAAATCGCATTTATATGCAAAACCAACTCAAAAACAGAAAAGTTTATGCATTCATATCACGATATGCGATTTGTAGGAATGCATTTCGTATTACCACCATTTTTTATTAGCATGGCTTGACTCCTTAAAATTGAGAAGGAGTTCCTCTTCACAACAAATGGAACTTTAACACTTGTTAAATTCCGAAAAAAGAAAAAGTTAAAGAAATTTAACAAGCGTCCAAACTCCATTTGTTTTGAGGATGAATGGTTACTCAATTTTGAATTGCAAAGTTTGAATGCAATCAAAAACCTTCTTCTTTTTTCTTCTAACTTTATCAAATAATGTTTTCTCAATAATGCAATTTTATTTATTCTCTTTATATATGTTTCTCTGTGTCTATTTGCCAAATGTGTAAATGAAAGAGCGTGGAGATGAGATAATAGACTACATCCCTGGAATCAACACCACAAGCGTTGCAGATCTTCCCACGGTATTCTTTGGAGACAATCATCAAAAAGTCCTCCACAGAGCTATTGAAACTGTTGCTCAAGTAGTAGAAAAAGCACAATATCTTTTGTTCACTTCAGTCCATGAGCTTGAACCTCAAGTCTTTGACACTTTCAAAACCAATTTGTTCTGCCTGTCTACCCTATTGGCCCAACCATACCTCACTTTGAACTTTCTAAAAGTCTACCCATAAATCACAATGATGGCCTCAGTTATCTAAATTGGCTAGATTCTCAGCCCAAATGGATGAAATTGTTACTGGGGTGCACAACAGTGGTGCTAGGTTCAAATGGAATTCAATTTTGGAAGCTGTTTATGCTGGTCTTCCAATTCTCACTTGTCCTATATTTTGGGACCAAGTTCCCAATGCTAAGCAAATTGTCGAAGATTGGAAGATTGGATACAGGGTATTGAAGAAGAAGGTGGGGGCTGAACATGAACATTTGGTGACCAAAGAGGAAATTGCTGAACTTGTGCAGAGGTTTATGGATCTTGAAAGCAAGGAGGGGAAGGAGATGAGGGAAAGAGCAAGACAACTTCAAGAGACTTGTCATAGAGCAATTGCTGAAGGTGGCTCATCTGACACCAACCTTGATGCTTTTATCAAGGATATTTCACAAGGAGGTCACCATTAATTATGTTCATGATTTGTAGTTTGGTTGAGAAACATAACTATATTGTTTTGTTTTAATTACTATTTGAAAGAGAAACTACTCTCATACCATAAGAATATCACTTTTTGCTATTCCCACCAATAACGCAATAATACTTAGAAAACCTTAAAGTGAGGTTGTCTATTAATGTATATTTGGAATCAAAGTGGGGTGTGCGCTATTAATATAATGTATAATTCATGGAAAAAGCATGAACCAAATTTACATATTTTACATATGTATATTTGGAGCCATTGGATTGGTACTTGTAATGGATAACTCTGTTTCGCCGAGGGGTAATTTCGTCTTTCCAGGAGTTTCATGATAATATCTTCAATCTTCATTTTATTCAAACTTGAAAGCTTCTTCAATCTCCATAAAAAGAGAGAAAATGGGAACAGTAAAAGACAACCACATCTCAGTCTGCCACGTGGTGGCGCTGCCCTATCCCGGCAGAGGCCACATCAACCCCATGTTGAACCTCTGCAAACTTCTATCCTCAAAGAAACCCGACAATACCCTCCTCATCACCATCGTCGTCACCGAGGAGTGGCACGGCTTCATCGGATCCGACCCGAAACCTGACAACATCCGATTCGCCACGCTACCAAATACCATCCCCTCCGAGCTCGTCCGAGCAAACGACTTTCCTGGCTTCGTGGAAGCCGTGAGCACCAAGTTGGAAGCTCCATTTGAGCAGCTTGTGGACCGGCTCGAGCCGTCGGTGAGCGCCATAGTTGCTGATCCGTACGTTGTTTGGGCTGTGAGGGTCGGGAACCGGAGGAATATTCCGGTGGCTGCGCTTTGGCCTATGCCGGCGTCGGTGTTCTCATTTTTCCATCACTTTGAGCTCCTCAAACAGAACGGACACTTCCCTCTTGATGTGTCAGGTGCGTCCACATCTACGCCACTTACTTTACTGTTTAGTTGCTTCAAATTTTCACCAGAAAAAGAGTTGCTTAAAATCTTTGATTATTTTTAATTTCTAAAGTGAAAAAGAATTTGCAATCACTTAGCTTGTGGCAAGACGACAATGGAGCTTTGCAAGTTGAACTTTGCCACTTGCTAAATGCCAAGGAATAAAACAGTGCGTGACTTCTAGTTGCCATTTTCGAGAAACATTTGCATGAGACGGGAATAACATTGTTTTGCAATCAAGTTTCTTGCTACTTTGGCCATAAAGGAGCATGTTAGGTAGACGATTGACTGTATTTTTTTAATTTTTTAAAGCCATTTAATTGATACGATTTTTCTAGCACTTTTTTCAAAAAAATAAAAATAAAAAAGTTAAATTGTGCATGTCAAATGTAGAATTTGACCCAAAGTTTATTATGTATTTGACCATAACTTTACTTGTATAAATTTGATACGCCATGATCTTCTGTCTCTATATAATCTAGTATAAGCCTTTTTCTTCAATATTGAGAACCCCATAACTTGAAACTTAACACATTTTAGAAACTTGGTTTTGTATGTAACTGTTGAATGAAAATCTCAAAGCCTTTTACATGTAACAAAAATAATGTTATCTCAATGCAAAAATTTATTGAAGTTCTTTCTCAATTTCTCTGTGCTAATTGTATAATGCGTAGAGCGTGGAGATGAGATAGTAGACTATATCCCTGGACTCGGCACCACGTCCATTGCAGACCTTCCCACAATATTCTCTGCAGACGGTCTAAAGACCCTGGACAGAGCCATTGAAGCTGTTTCTGGAGTAGCAGATAAAGCACAATATCTTTTGTCCACTTCAGTCCACGAGCTTGAGCCTCAAGTCTTTGACACTTTGAAAGCCAAATTTGCTTTCCCTGTCTACCCAATTGGCCCAAGCATACCTCACCTTGAGCTTTCAAAAAGTCCTCCCACTGATCACAATGACCTCAACAATTGGCTTGATTCTCAACCTAAACAGTCAGTCTTGTACATCTCTCTGGGAAGCTTCCTCTCAGTTTCGAAATCCCAAATGGATGAAATTGTCGCTGGGGTGCGGAATAGTGGTGTTAGGTTCTTGTGGGTGGCTCGTGGGGATGCCTCTAAGTTGAAGGAGGGCGTTGGTGATAAGGGTTTGGTGGTGCCTTGGTGTGACCAATTGAGGGTGTTGTGTCACGATTCTATTGGTGGGTTTTGGTCACATTGTGGTTGGAATTCAACTTTGGAAGCTGTTTATGCTGGTGTTCCAGTTCTCACTTGCCCTATATTTTGGGATCAAATGCCTATTTCGAAGCAAATTGTGGAAGATTGGAAGATTGGATACAGGGTTCTGAAGAAGAAGGTGGGGGCTTCTGAACATGAACATTTGGTGAGCAGAGAGGAGATTGCAGAACTTGTGCAGAGGTTTATGGATCTTGAAAGCAAGGAGGGGAAAGAGATGAGGAAAAGAGCGAAACAACTTCAGGAGACTTGTCACGGAGCAATTGCTAAAGGTGGCTCATCTGACAAGAACCTTGATGCTTTTATTGAGGATATTTCACGACGCCATCACCACTAATTATAAGTTCATGATTTGTGTTGGGTTTTGTGGGAATAATATAATCATTGAAGGGATATCATTTCTAATTTCTATATAGTTTGGTTGAAAAATAGAATCATGATGATTACTATGTAATGAATTATCGTTTTCATTATTTTTATTTATGGAATCAAATATGTATACCTATTCAACATAAAAGTTGGTGTTGTCCCATTCACCACCTCCAGAGCGCACTTTTGAACAAAATAGTGAGACCTTTTTTTATTGTTTAGTGAACGTTTGAAATGAAATAATATACCTAATTTAAAATAAAAGCCAGTATCTTATATAAGTTAGGTTATTTTGTTAACGTAGTGTGCCCGTCTCTTGCAATCGAGTTGCACTCTTAATAATTTAAAATATCGTGTTACCAAAGATGAAAATTTTGATAATTTCATATTAACCATCACATAAAAGTTGGTGTTGTCCCATTCACCACCTCCAGAGCGCACTTTTGAACAAAATAGTGAGACCTTTTTTTATTAACACGTCACTGTCACCGAAGAGTGGCTCGGGTTTATCAGCTCCGACCCGAAACCCGACAACATCCGGTTTGCCTACATCCCAAACGTCATCCCTCCCGAGCGTCTCAAAGCAGCCGACTTTCCGGGCTTCTACGAAGCTGTCATGACCAAGATGGAAGCTCCGTTTGAGCGGCTGCTCGATCGGCTCGAGCCTCCGGTATCAGCTATCATAGCTGATATTGAGGTTCGGTGGGGTGTTGGGTTTGGGATTCGGAGGAATATTTCGGTGTCTTTGTTTTGGACTATGTCAGCCACCTTCTTGTCCATGCTGCATCGTTTTAATGTTTTCTCCCAAAACAAGAACATCCCACTTGAATTTTTTGGTAAGTAATTGCTATCTGCATATTTTTTTGATAACCCAAATTGAAAATTGATGTGGAAATTGGGCTTTATCTGTTTCTGTGTGATAGATTGTGGAGATCAAATACCAGGGATTTCTTCTACTGATTTAGCAGATCTTGGAATAGTGTTCAAAGGAAACGACCCAAAAGTCATGAAGCTTGCTCTGGAATGCATTTCATGGGTTCCAAAAGCACAGTATCTTCTGTTTACTTCTGTTTATGAGCTTGAACCTCAAATCTTCGACTCTTTACAAGCGGAATTCCCATTCCCTGTGTACCCAATTGGTCCCGCCATACCTTATTTAGAGCTTGAGCACAATTGCTCTGCATCAGCTGCTGACAATGACATTGACTATCTAAAATGGCTTGATTCTCAGCCGAAAGGCTCTGTCTTGTACATCTCGTTGGGCAGTTTTCTTTCAGTTTCGAGCACCCAAATGGACGAAATTGCAGCCGGGCTGAGGAATAGTGGGATTCAGTACTTGTGGGTTGCTAGGGGGGAGGCTTCTCGGTTGAAAGAGAGTTGCAATGGTGAAATGGGGTTGGTGGTGCCATGGTGTGAGCAACTGAAAGTGTTGTGCCATTCTTCTGTTGGTGGTTTTTGGACTCATTGTGGGTGGAACTCCACTCTGGAAGCTGTTTTCGCTGGTGTTCCAATGCTTACTTTCCCTCTGTTCCTTGATCAACTGCCCAACAGCAGGCAAATTGTTGAAGAGTGGAAGATTGGAAGGAGGGTTAAGACAGAGGTACAAGATGAGAAATTGATGACAAGGGAAGAAATTGCTGAGCTTGTGAAGAGATTTATGGATCTTGAAAGCAGTGATGGGAAAGAAATGCGGAAAAGGGCAAAAGAACGCAGCGATTTGTGTCATCGAGCAATTGCAAAAGGGGGTTCATCTGATACAAACCTTGATAATTTTATCAGGGATATCGGCAAAGCTGCAACCTTCTAGCGGACTGATGCTCCTTCCTTTTAGTAAGACACAACTTACTTCTCAATATGCAAATTAGCCCTCATCCATGTGTACAACGTTGTATGTAGAATAAATACTACAGGATCTAAGTAAGTTTCCTTGGTCTTTTTGGTTTTGAAGCATACGGGTACTTTTTTTACACATGTCCTATTTGTTATGTCATCTCAATATCTACTTGATTCGAGCCTTTTGATCTCTACCACAAGGGCAAGCCTCATTTGAAGCTTTTTAGATTTCTTGGGTTTGAGTCAAGTCATGTTTTTTTTTTTTGGTTTACAAGCACTCTCTATTTTCCGGGAAATACTTCTCTAGTCGTTGCATTGACTCGTTCTTCTATCTCTCGCTTCGGATAATCTTTGATGGGTCATGCTAGGGAGACCAACTTGGGAGACCAATTTGGGTACCAACTCTCTAATAGAGGTGGAGCCCACCAATACAATAGGTCCCACGCTTTATTAAAGAGTTGGTATCCCAAGTTGGTCTCCCTGGCATTTTCCATCTTTGATAGATGCTGAACCTGGACCTCAACCTGTAATTCAATCAATTATTGCAACGAAAAAGTAGTCAAAAAGGAAAACCTGCTCAAGTCATGTCACATCCATAAAAAAACAAAAAGAAAAGACTTTGGTTAATTTAAATCTTCTTCATAAGCCCCTCCCTTGAGCGTGCATATATGCTGCGACCAACTTCAACTTTATTACTATTACTGATTTCATCGAATCATGAAATCGGACATGGACTCTACCAGAGAATTAGAATCACCACCAACCAGTGTATGCCACGTCGTGGCTCTGCCCTATCCTGGCAGAGGCCATATCAACCCCATGATGAACCTCTGCAAACTACTGTCTTCAAAGAAACCCGACACCCTCATCACCTTCGTCGTCACCGAAGAGTGGCACGGCTTCATGGGCTCGGACCAGAAACCCCATAACATCCGGTTTGCCACTGTACCAAACCTCATACCCTCCGAGCTTGTTCGCGCAAACGACTTTCTTGGATTCATGGAAGCTGTGAACACCAAGTTGGAAGCTCCGGTTGAGCAGCTACTGGACCGGCTTGAGCAGCCGGTGAGTGCGATAGTTGCTGATCCCTTCGTTGTTTGGGCTACGAGGGTCGCGAGCCGGAGGAATATTCCGGTGGCTTCACTTTGGCCCATGTCGGCGTCGGTGTTCTCAGTGTTACTTCACATTGAGACACTCGAACAAAAGGGCTATTTCCCTCTTAATAATGTCTCAGGTGCGTGCATCGTTACATAATCATTATATTACAACCCAAATTTGAATGTTATATTCTACAACAATTCTCTCTTTTTAATACGTTTTGTTTTTTACATGTTATCGAAGAATTCGTTATTTAATACATAAGGGCACATAAGAACTGTAATATTAATATTCCAAACCTTTTCTTATGCATTAATATTTGTTTTGTGTTGAAAAGAGTGGGGAGATGATGAGGTAATAGCAGATCTAGATCTTCCCACAGTGTTGAATGGAGACGGTCTTCAAATCTTGAAGATGAACCTGGAAGTTGTGCGTAGCATATATAAAGCACAATATCTTGTGTTTTCTTCAGTCTACGAACTTGAGCCTCAAGTGTTTGACAATCTAAAAGCCAAATTTGCTTTGCCTATCTACCCTATTGGCCCAAGCATACCTTACTTTGAGCTTTCAAAAAGTTCTCCTACTAATCACAATTACCTCTATAATTGGCTAGATTCTCAACCTAAACACTCAGTCTTGTACATCTCTCTGGGAAGCTTCCTCTCAGTTTCAAAAGCCCAAATGGATGAAATCGTTGCTGGGGTGCAAAACAGTGGTGCTAGGTTCTTGTGGGTGGCTCGTGGGGATGCCTCTAAGTTGAAAGATGGTGTTGGTGATAAGGGTTTGGTGGTGTCTTGGTGTGACCAATTGAGGGTGTTGTGCCATGATTCTATTGGTGGGTTTTGGTCACATTGTGGTTGGAATTCAACCCTAGAAGCTGTTTATGCTGGTGTTCCAATTCTCACTTGCCCTATATTTGGGGATCAAATCCTCAACGCTAAGAAAATTGTGGAAGATTGGAAGATAGGATGCAGGGTACTGAAGAAGAAGAAGAAGGGGTTTGAAGAAGAAGATTTGGTGACTAGAGAGGAAATTGTACAACTTGTGCAGAGGTTTATGGATCTCGAAAGCAAGGAGGGAAATGAGATGAGGGAAAGAGCCAAACAACTTCAAGAGACTTGTCAAGGAGCAATTGCTAAAGGTGGCTCATCAGACACCAATCTTAATGCTTTTATTAAGGATGTATTTCACAAGACCATTAAGCAGTTCATGACGTTGTACTTCTTAATGCATGACTGATTGCTTTAAAGCAACTTACTTTTAATTTTCTTCTTGGGGATGATTTTAATTTTGACTTTGGTTCTTAATAAGGAATTGGTTTCATAAATTAATGTCGTGAATGAATATTGTCTAAATTACTTCAGTCTGACAACATGTCACATCTTATTTTTATACAAGCGATAATCTAAGTGCCCATTTGATAACTATTTCAATTGTTTTTAGTATTCAATTTTTGTACTAGAGTATAGAGGAGAAAAAGGGTGAATGGAAGTGAGAATGAGAGTGGAGATAGAATTGAGAGGGAAGATGAGAGGGGAGGATGGGAGGGAGGAGTAATAAAAGTGAAAACAAAAACTAAAAACTGAAATATATTTTAATTGTTCTCACTTTCGAGATTTTGTTTTCATTTTTGTTACTATTCCCTCTCATCCTCTCTCTCAATCTCACTCTCATTTTCCTCTATACTCTAGCACAAAAATGAAAAATAAAAACGAATATTGAAGTGATTATCAAACGGATCCTAAACTAATCAAATTTATTAAAAAGGTGGAGTGATTTGAACTTATGTCTCGAGAGTGATTTGAACTTTAGTGCAAGAGTTAAATGTTCGCACTAACTTAACCAAGTTGCCTAACCCACCAAGCGTTGTAAACGATATTAAGAAAACATTTCCCGTGATACAAAGTTGTTCTCTTTTCTGCATCTTTTCGCACGTGGTAGTGGGAACTTCTTTAAGAAACAGACACTCACCGAACCGAACAACCTTCTACTTTAAAAAGCGAATACGAAAACGATGTCTAATGTTATATCTTCTTCAACCTAATTACTAACCTGTTTGATCCAAAAATTCGGACATGGATTCCAGCAAAGACCAACCAACCTCCGTCTGCCACGTGGTTGCTGTGCCCTATCCCGGCCGGGGCCACATCAATTCAATGATGAACCTCTGCAAGTTGCTAGCTTCCCACAAGGCCGATATTCTCATCACCTTCGTCCTCACAGAAGAGTGGCTCGGCTTCATCGGCTCCGAAGCCAAACCGGACAACGTTCGATTCGCCACAGTTCCCAACGTTATACCGTCGGAGCTGGTCCGCGCCGCCGACATAGACGGCTTCATCGAAGCGATCATGACCAATATGGAAGCTCCGTTTGAGCGTCTTCTGGATCGGCTCGAGCAGTCGCCTGTTTTGATTGTGGCGGACACTTTCTTGCCTTGGGCCATCAGTGTCGGAAACCGAAGGAATGTCCAGGCGGCGTCGTTTTGGCCGATGCCGGCGTCCGTTTTCTCCATGTTTCAACACTTCCATCTTTTGGCGGAAAATGGGCATTTTCCTGTTGACTTGCTAGGTGAGTGTCTGTGACTATTCTTTTCTCTATTCCTCTTTTAAATTTGTGAAAAAGGAAATTATACTGCTATCTTGTTACCATAAGATTTTATTTTATATTTCATTGTAAGTTTAGTTGTTTGATTGAATTTCAGTTTCATTACTTCAATTAGGTAAGAATATTATAAATTGCCTGAATATAAATGTAGCTACATGGTATTTCTATAAAGTCATTTCTTTTTTATACAAACAAGAGTTTGAAGGTGGCAAATTTGAATTAGGCCATTTTATCTTTCTTAGTGAGAGAATTAGGCTAGTTAGTTAAGGCAGTTTTCTAGTACTTGAGTTCGATCCCCATCTCGTAATAATAACTCTTTCATATTAATGTACCTAATGTATTGAGAGTAACTTACTAAATAAAGACCAAATATATATATATATATCAAAATTCAATTCAATCTTATTGCCTTCTTTTGTTTTTATTTTTTTGACAGATTGTTTTTCTTGTTTTTTTGAAATTTTACTGCCATCCATTAACAGAGAGGGGAAATGAGCGTGTGGACTACATTCCAGGAGTTTCTTCGACGCGACTAGTAGACCTTCCTCATTTCATGGATGGAAGCTTCTC